GCAAGCGCACCTCGACAGTTTGGGATCACTTCGACATAATTGATGAGATTGACAATGAAGGTAACACTAAACATATAGCTCAGTTTAAATATTGTTTATCTAAATTACAAGGTGACACTATTCACGGCACCACACACTTGAGAAGACACTCTGAAAGGTGTCTTCAAAAGCTTAGCCAATCCGGCGGATCCGAACTCCACCAAACACGTGAAGAATACTTGAGGAACGCCGGAATGCATTACAAAGGGATATTGTTGAAGCCTTGGTTTGCATTAAGAATTGAGATCGGGCCGATCGACGTCTACAAGATACAATTTCGCCGGCAAGCCAAGAATGAAATGATGAATTTAATCGATTAACATTTAATTTTGACGAATCTTTAGCTTCAAATTAAATTGTAAATTTGTAATTTGTAAATATGTATTTATCTTTGATATTGTATTTGTAATTGTATAACTTTGTAAGTTTGTAAAATTTGTAATTCGTCACAAAATGATTGCACTCTTTTTTCCTTGCCAAGTTTTTATCCCAATTGGGTTTTTCTTGTTAAGGTTTTTAACGAGGCAGTCATGAATTACAAATTTTAAAATTAATAAAGAAATAATTTTTTTATATAGTTCGTGTGTTCATTTCAAACTTCAAATTGTAATTTATATATATAAATTTTAACACAAAATAACTTAATATTAAAAAAAAAAATTTAAAAAATTCAGGCTACTCAAGCGGGCTCGGGCAGCCCGGCCGGGCTCGGGCGGCCTAATACATGTCCGCGGCCCGTTCAAGGTGAAATTCAGGCTCGGGCGGGCGGCCTGAATTTTTCGAGCGGGTCGGGCTAAGGCAAAAACTCATTTTTTTCGGGCGGTCGCGGGGGGCCCGGCCAAAGTTCCAGCACTAGTAGAGATCTTGGACTTATCTAGTTCGATTCACTATCAACACCCACCATAGAAAGCTCTTTATATTTTTAGCCACAATCCAAAATCAGCTATTGATCACCACCATGTTTTATTACATTGATGGAAAAATTGTCATATTATAATAGCCACTGGAATTGACCTTGGTCCAGCCAACTTATCATACATTTCGGATGTGTTCGGCAGCCTTAAAAACTCAAAAAAAGGTAACTCGAGTTACAACTTTATTCAAATTCATGTTCTTTTAAGTTTGAACTCGAGTTTGGGAATAAAACTCGAGTTCAAGTTTTCCCTTCAACTCGAGTTCAGAAACTCGAACTCAAATTAATGAACAATATTTTTTCTATTATTAAAAATGCTATAACTTTTTCATTTTAATCCTAATTGAGATGATTTTTTTTCTATGCGTTGACAACGAAAAGACGAATACAACCCCACCCATATACCCTATTATAATTTTTCATCACCATTGAATTTTTATTAAAATACTATATAAATACAAATTCAAGTTTTGACTTACTCAAATGCAAACTCAAAAAGATTTTTATCTCAAACCATAACTCAAATATACACAACAAAACACAAACTCAAGTTACAATTTCAACTCAAATTATAACTCAAACTCAACTTAAGATCTTTACTCAAGAATACCAACTCAAAAATGCAAAAGAACAACCCCTTCGTTTTCATAGTATATAAAACATGATCGTTTCGTGATTGTTGACCACAGGTTCTCATCTTTGAAAATGAAATCTTAATTTTCCTTTTTTGGCTAATCATGTTAAAAAGCATGATTATTAGCTTACTATTCCTAATGTGAATTCTTATGTCATGACTTCAAAGACAATACCGCGATTATTGGGATATAAATAAAGATTTAACTTAATTAAACTGGAGTAATTAAGAAAAATCCATAAAAATAAAGTAAAATATTCAAATACCAAAATAAATATTAAAATATATTGCTCCGTAATCTTTCTTTTATAAACAATATTTAAAACAATCCATAAAGTTTAAATAATACAACTATTAGACAATGTCGACTAATACAACTTATATACAGAAATACAATACATATCAGAATTAAAACTATACATCCGAAACAAACGTATCACTTCGAATCTCGATCTTTTAATCCATTAGCATCCACTTGTCATACTGTAAATCTAAACCGCTAACTCTGAAGGAGGGTTTAAAACATTAAAAATAGAAAAAAAAGGTGAGCGAAAGGCCCAATAGGATATAATTTATAAAAATTGAATAGATAATGAAAATACAGGCCCGAAAGAATCATTCAGAACCAAACAACCTTTTTACTGAAAGGTAAATAAACTTAAACTCCAGATTTCAGGCAATCAGCAAGTAATTTAATGATAAATTACTTACGATCAATGCAAGACCAAACACCACCGGACTGGCTCGTACGGGTTTCAAATTCTGCCGCCAAGGATACGATCTTCATATCCTGATATCTAGGTCATCAGCGGCTTTACCGGTTCTTAAAATATTTTATTTTAAAGAATATATGTTAAAACCTTAATTCCGTTCATTATGAGCTCAATAGCATATTTCATGTTATTTCTAAACATGTTTTGCCTTTAAAACATTTTCATATGCCAAAATACTTTAAAATAAGGCTAACAAGGATATGGACATGAATATTTTACTTCTGGATAATTTAGTTTACTGATAACTTGACGTTGTCTAACTGTCTATTCTTGAAGCTCCATGGCTCTCTCTAAATTTCTCAAAATTCATTCGATTTGCCTCGATCTGTGTGCACGGTACTGGTAGACTTTTCAACGGAGTAGAATTGGTGTAAACGGAGGTCATTGTTATGTTCAACACATCGAAACGAGTCAAGATATGGTCTTGGGTTGACGAACGAAGGTCGAGAGGCTGCTGAACAGAAGCTCATTGAAATCCGGCCACCGGCGGCAGTGGCAGCGGCGGCGGAGACTCCCCGAGAGTTTTTCCATGGCGGACTTAGGTCCTACCCCCCCTAAATTGACCTTTCTGAGTTCAATGGTGCGGTCAACTTCACCAAATTCGGCCTCTAACTGCTCAGATCGAACTCAAAAGCATCGACAAAATTCGGCAACTTTGATCTTAATTCTCTGACTATGGAATCTCAAAATTGGTTGAGGGCTTTCATTAACCATGATCTTCTGAGCATTTAGACAATAAAATTATGATGATCTAATGGTTAGATCGTTGGAACCGCCCTATAACACGACAACAACGACGGCGAGCTCGAATCTCCGGCAATAGGCGGTGGAACCTCAAAATTAAGTTGGGGCTTTTGGTCAACGTCCCGTTCTGAGTCTAACGAGCCCAATGGTGTCGCTCATGACGGCCGGAAAGGCATAGTTCGGCGAGGGGTGGCGCGGCCGAATTTCGTAGCTCCGGCGAGAATCGAGGGATACCGCTGGTTAGGCTTTCTTCGTCTCTTCGAGTTGAGTCATAGGGACCGGAATCACTCCGATCGGAGGTCGGACGACAATGTTACGACGGTGAGAAATGTAGGTGGTTTTTGAAACTTTACCCGGTGATTGCGGCTGTTTACGGCGGAGATGGAGATCGTGCGGCATGTCAACTAGTCCAGGTCGTCGAGAGCTTTCCATGGTGTGGGCGGTGTTGTGAAATGACACCGGAATCTCATTGGTGGTAGGTAGCCGGCGTCGAGAGTGAGAGTTAACGTGGGAGAAAGATGAGAGAAAAAGGAGAATAAGAAAGAAAAAAAAAAGAAAAAATGAGCTTAGATTTTTTGGGTAAATTTGATAATTAGACTTTAAAGTTCAATTTGAATAGAGTATGGAATGACTCATTATTAATGTTCTGAAAAATTAATTATTAATAATTAAAACTCTTCAAGGGATAATAGTGTCAATTTCAAAACAATCCGCTTTAAAGGAAAAAATCCTTACGTGATAATTATAAGATTAATTAACACTAACTATCGGATTAAATTAATTAATCTCAATTAATTTAACTAGGTGTTACATCTTATCTCCTAAACATGATTATTATCTAAATTTGAATTATATTTCAAATGTGATTATATCTACTAATTGCAATCCTTATTTCCAAGGCGATCTTGTAATCTCCTATCTCAAATTTATCGTGTAGATTAGTCAAAATTTCATGTCACTATTCTTATTCATATTTGAATTTTGTATAAATACTTCTTCTCAGTCATATCTTTATGATCTTCCAGAGATCTTGGTGTGACCGGCCTATTTAGCTCGGTTCACTATCAACACCCACCATAGAAAGCTCTTTATTTTTTTAGCAACACTCCAAAATCAGGTATTGATCACCATCACGTTTTATTACATTGATGGAAAAATTGTCATATTATAATAGCCACTAGAATTGACCTTGGTCCAGCAAACTTATCATACATTTCGTTTTCATAGTACATAAAACATTGTCGTTTGGTGATTGTTGACCACATGTTCTCATCTTTGAAATTGAAATGTTAAATTTTTTTTTTTGGCTAGTCATGTTAGAAACATGATTATTACCTTACTAGTAGTGCTCAGTGGTCACTTTTATTTTCTTCTTTAATTACTGTCGCAGTCGCTGGCCCATGTGCTTGTGCTCGTTTGTCTTTTAGAAAAATATTAAACAAAAATAGAATGAGTACTCTTTTGAGTTTTCAATCCACGTGGTATGAGGTTTCATTAAAACTGGAATTACTTTTTTTTTCTGACTATATTTAATCCTTTATTTTTCTATACGTTTTAACAGAAATTTTAGCAAAATAAATTAAGTGAGACTAAGTCAAAATTTAAAGTTTAAAATGAGACTTTTTACAATTTAGAAGATAAACTAGAAACCACCTTAAATTTAAGGTGCACCGATGGATTAAACCTTCATAATATATAATAACTACAAGTGCCGACGGCTGAAATATAATACTATAGAACATGTCTGATTTGTTAGCAGTAGTAGTGCATGCATTGAAGTGCGGAAAAAAGGATATTTTTGCAATAAAAAAAAAGTCTAGAAAAAAGGTTATTGGTAAGAAGGCATTAACTACTGTGGATTGTTCTAGTGGTGATTTCCCATTCATTTTCTAATGATCAATCTCCCATTTGCTTATTCAAAAATTTGGTCACCGTTCTATTAAATAAGAAGGAGACAAAATGTGGCAATTTAAGGCAACACCTCTAAGTTGCAAGATTCAATGAGATTTTAGCATCATTAAAAAAAAAAAAAAAAAAAAACACTAAAATCTCTCTCTCTCTCTCTCTCTCTCTCTCCTCATCATTTGGACATGGGAGAACCTCAAGAAGTGCAACTCAGCGTCACTGGTAAGTCGGTTTTGTTCATATTTCTCAACTGGGTTGTCCTCTGTTTCCATCTTTCTTTCTCATTTATCAACTTTACAGGGAAGTAATTAAAGGAAGAGCTATGAACTCGGAAAGTTAGAATTATTTCTCTGTTTGATTCATGTAGTTCGGATTTCTGATCTCTCTCTCTCTCGCTCTGTTACTTTTGTCACTTCATATGTAAGAAAGAATTACTACAAAAGTATCAGTCAATAATAGTATACTCCATATAGCTATAACATAGCTTTAACTAACTGATTCCATCAACTCTTTCTCTGGTCATAGGGGCTATAAACAAATCCTATAGAAGAAAAGAAAACTCTAAGATTGACTGTGAACAAAGTAGTGTTTTCTCACTTGTAGAACAAAAAGTGAGTCAAATTTACTCTTTTCTGCACATATATAGATGGTAACAAGAGTCAAACAAATCACCTTTCAATATAAGTCATTCTTAAGAACCTGTACTGTAAAGAAGCCCTCTTCCATTTTTCATCTATTATCAAAATCCTGACATTATGTAATCTTTTTAGTAGCTCAGGAAGCTAATGAAGCAAACCCTCATGGCCACACAAATGGTGCAATCAATCAGTCACGTATTCCTCAGCCAAGAAGAAAACTTATAAGCTGGATTCGAATCGGTATCTACGCGATCTTTCTTCTTGCTGGTCAGTCAGTAGGAATGCTGTTGGGGAGATTGTATTTTGACAAAGGTGGAAATAGCAAATGGATGGGGACTCTTGTTCAGCTTGTAGGCTTTCCAATCCTGCTTCCCTACTATTTGTTCTCACCAAAGAAGAATAAAAATGCTATAACAGAAAGTAGCACTAATATCATCAGTTTAAAACCACCTTCTACTTTACTCCTTGCATCAATTTATACTGTTCTTGGCATACTTATAGCTGCAGATTGCTATTTGTACTCTGTTGGGCTAATGTATCTTCCTGTGTCTACTTACTCACTCATATGCGCATCGCAATTAGCCTTCAATGCTTTTTTCTCCTTCTTTCTCAACTCTCAAAAGTTCACTTTTTACATCATAAATTCCTTGGTGCTTCTCACCCTCTCCTCGACTCTCCTTGTGTTTCAATCGGGGTCTGATGACACTCACAATAATTCTAAAGGGAAGTATGTGATCGGTTTCATTTGCACCGTTGGTGCGTCTGCAGGGTATGGATTGGTGCTCTCCTTGACACAATTCTTCCTCAATAGAGTCTTGAAAAGGGAAAGTTTTTCAGTGGTCATGGATATCTTAGTGTATCAATCACTTGTTGCAAGCTTGGCAATTCTTGTAGGGCTTTTCGCTAGTGGGGACTGGAAAGGTTTGGACGAGGAGATGAACTCGTTCGAGCTTGGGAAGTTGTCCTATGTCATGACACTAGTATGGACAGCCATAATATGGCAGCTCTTCGGCATTGGGGCAATTGGGTTGATTCTCGAGGTGTCCTCACTCTTCTCCAATGTCATGAGCGTTTTGGGTTTGCCTATTGTCCCGGTTTTAGCAGTGTTCTTCTTTCACGAGAAGATGGATGGGATAAAGGTTATGGCATTGCTCTTGGCTATTTGGGGCTTCATTTCATATATTTATCAGAGCTACCTTGACGATTATAGCTCCAAGAAAGAGAGCAGCTAAAAGGTCGGATAAAAGCACAAAAATGCAGTGTGAAAATTGTTTGATTAATAACGTTTGTTAATTTTATGAGGTTTTGCGTGGCATTTTTGCAAGATTAATATACACTTGTTGCTTTTGACAATTTTCTGTTTCAGGGTGAATACAGCCCATTAAAGTTAAAAGAGATGGAATTGTCCAAAAGTCCACCTAGCGGTTTCCTTTGTCGTGTGATTAACTTACCAAATTTAAGAAGATCCAATTGCCAATCAAGTGGTCAGCTCTTAGCCTTCTCCAACCTTGCAATCCGTGGATTATCATGCCATTTTTAGCATCCAAATGTGTGCAGCTCATTGCTAAGAATTCCAACCGTGATTAACTTCCAAATTTGAGCTTCAAATGATATTTAAAAGTTTCCCAAAACTTGTGGATGCTGGAGGTTGTCAAAGTTATACCTTGATTCCTTGCACATAGTCATCTTGAAGTCCAGGTTCATGCCTTAGCCGTCTATTACCTACCCTTTCTCCAAATTGATTTGTAGTTTTATTTTCTTTCCATTTCTTTTGTAATTTGTTTTATTTTTCCTTTCTTCTAATTTATTTCCTTATTTTCTCGGCACCCCTAAACTCTATAAATAGAGGGCTCTCCTTCTTGTATTTTTCATCTTTTGAATTGAGAGAAATTTCTGAAATCAAAGTTTGATCATGTTTAGTTCTTATTTCCTTAGTTTTTCTTTCGGTGAGAGATGAGTAACACATGTTTTTGTGAGTGACACACAATTGAGAAAAAAGCTGAGTAAAGAGTGAATTTTAAATCCTCTCATCTTTTATTTATTTCTAAATATGGTATGTTAAACTTTTATATAAATTTAGTCACGTTTTTTTATGTAATTTTATCATGCAATGTTTTGACAGAATCGTTCTATGAGTTATTCTTTTACTGTAATATTGTCGAGAGATATTGTCGATTTTAGATGACTTATAATAATAATCCTCGTAGAATTAATGTGAGGGTTTGATTTATTCTTTCACTTGTCTCTTCAAACTTTCATTTTCTACTAATATGTTTTATTATTTGTCACTTTTTCGTGGGATCGATCGCTCAATTTGTACTACAAAATGATCGCTGGCGTTAAACAATGTCATAAGAGAAACAAGAGCTTCACCCCATAATAGAGTATGTATTAATTTAATCATTAAATGAAATTTCTCCCTTTAAAAAAAGATTGGAATGCCAACTTTTAAAATTTTCTTAATTTTTTCTTTCTTTTATTTTGTTACCCTCTCATTCTGTTGGTAAAAATTTATTGTTATTCCAAGAACATATTTTGGGTTGTTATGTTTGGTTTTTTTTTTTTTTTTTTTTTTTTTTTTTCTTTTTTTTTTTTGTTTTTTTTTTTTTTTTTTTTTTTTTTTTTTTTTTTTTTCAATTTTCTTTAGTGTACTTTTATTCAGAACTTTTTGGCACCCTAGGCCCTATAACACCCATCCATGAAGGGGAAGAGTAAGAGGATTACTATAAACACATACATCTACACATATAGGCTCATACATATGTATGTATATATAGTATGTATTAATTTGTATTATTCATAATTAAAAAGAAAGTAATATTCATGCATATAATACATTTTTTAGTAGAAATGGAAATGTGGACGGTGATTTCCTATAACACCCATCCATGAAATGGCATGGTTTCTTCGTCGCTTATATATAAATTCTCAATGGTCTTCACTGTGGACGGTGATTTCCAATAGTCAATATGCATTAAGGGTAATGACCAATTAACGCGACGTTAAACGTTCGATCCGTTTGTTTAAGATTGATCTAGTATAAGAGCGATAAAGGAGGATCAGAGTAGTCGACTCATCTGCTCTATTGATCTTAGATCCGAGCTGTCTTCTAATAATCTCGGGCTATTGGATTCTTTAAAATGGTCTCTTTGGTTGATGGTCTTCAAACTTAATCGAACCATCAAACTTAATCAAATCGAGTTGACACGTGTATAATTGAGATTGATTAACGAAATCTTACTCCTTTTGGTTTCAGTTTGCTCACGATTGTCTTTTGGTTATCGAATGCTTATACTATGGCATTATTGTTTCTTCAGATGTTTTCATTTTTTCCCTTTTTTAAAATTTGTTTTCATTTCTTTGTTTTTTTTTGGGTCGCAATTGATTTATTATGAATATTGCCGTTTTCTAAAAATTTTGTTCTTTTGTGTATTTTCTTGTTTTTATTCCTTTGTTCAATATGCTCGTCATTTTTTATTGTTGTCGTTTTGAGTTTTGTGATTGCTTTCTCCTTGTCATTTATTGAAGTGCTGTTTATTTCCTTGGCCATTCTTTACTTCGGTCGCTATTAAGTACATCAATACATGGTGTGGTCTATTATTTCGTAGCTAATTTTGCTTTCGTCATATTCAGGTGTTGTCGTTTCACTTTTTGGTGTCGTTTCTCTTTGTTGTTCTTTCGTGTTTGTCGTTGATATCTCTATCGTCGCTTACTGGTCATATTGTTTATTAATGATCTCATTTAGTAGTTTTATGTCGTTGTTTTCTTACCTTCGTTGTTTATCAGGTGGTGTTGATTACTTTTATGGTCGTCTAGTGCTACTCAGTTCCTCGTGTCGTTTCATTTATGTCATCGTTTTATCTTCTTCGCCCGCTATTCAGTTTGTTGTTGTTTCATTTTTAAGAGACGTTTAGTAAGAGAATTTATACCATGATTTGAATCATAATTCATGATTCGCTATAAGTGTTTTCTCTCACAAAAAATACACGTAAATCGAAAATGATTCTAATCTCATGATTCTAATCCATGAACCAAACCTTAGTCATTTTCTTCCGGTTGTTGTTTATTAATTATAAAACCTTTTCCCTTGTAGCTCGCTTCTGTAGGTAATTAAAAATTAATAAATTATATCAATATAATCGTTAATTAAAAAAAATTTAAAAGTATCTCATCAATTTTGTCTAAATACAACTTTTATCTTTGAGTTTTCTAAAATTAAAAAAGTATCTCATATGTTTTTCAACCCATACAAAAAGTATCCATTCTTTTAACTTTTTAGGTTTAATTTTTAAAATGGTCAAATTGTCGTTACATATTCCATATATTGTCTAAATTTTTGCTAGGTTATACCACCTTGAAACACTCTTAAATTTTCTTTATTTTTTTTTTAAGAAATCCTCTTAGAAAATTTACAGCACCAATTTGAACAAGTTTTTTTTTTTTTTTTTTTTTCATTTTAATAAGAAAGTGAAATATTTTTCGAAAAAAGATGTAATTCTATTTTATTTTGAAATTCTATTTGGCAAAACATAATGAATTTATTTACCAACTTGAGGTGAAAGTGTATGTTGTACTGGGTAATGAACTAACTTGTTAGAATTGCTCAATACTATATGACAAAATTTACATCTTTAAAAAAAAAAAAAAAAGGATTTCACTTTCTTATTAAAATAAAAGAATATTCAAATTAGTGTTGTAAATTGCCTAAAAGAGCCACTTCAAAAAAAAAAAAAAAAAGAATCTAACAGGAGTGTTTAGAAGCTAGTATAACTCATCACAAATTTAAATAGTATATGAGATATCTAAGGACAATTTGGTAATTTAAAAAAACTACACCAGAAAAGTTAAAAAAAAAGAGATACTTTTTGTCTGTTTTCAAAACATATGGAATACTTTTTAGATTCTAAAAAACTCAGGGTAAAAATTATATTTAGACAAAACTGAGGGGATAATTTTTAGATTTTCTTGTTGATTAATAATCAATTTATAGTCCTCACCGTCACTAATTTGGGACCATTGACATACATTATGTTTGGTGGGAGGGAGAGAAAAATATAAGGGATTGAAAATCAGAATATTGATGGAAAAAAATAGCTTCATTGTTTGAGAGTGAAAATAAGTTATTGGACAATTACTTTTTTATCTTTTTATTTATAATATGTGTTTTGAAAATTAAGCTAAATAAATAATTATATCTTATTTTAATCGTCGTAACTTTTCCCTCTTAAAATCACTCTATCTGTTGAGGGAAAAGAAATGGTGAGTCGCACTTGTATAATTTTCTACTATATTTTCTCTTCCTTTTCTTTTCTTTTTTCTCTTACTAAACAACCTACTTTTTTATTCTCTCTATATATATGTCCACCTTCTCATTTGCTTCCACTTTTCTTCCCTATCAAACATTAGTGTTATTGTGCTCTTGTTCAACTCTCGTAGATCCTCAAAAGCTCATCACATTACTCGTTGTTTGAGATGCAATAATGGGCCGGTGTCCGTGGGCCGGCTCAGACCCATCCTGACACAGTGACGGCCTGGGCCGACACGACCCGTCACTGTTCAAAACACGGCCTAGCCCATAAATATTAGTAGGTTGGGCTGGGACAACATATATCAGCCCACGGAGCGGCCCATGAAAAATCATGCTCCAGGTCGGGCTAGGCCGGCCCAGCCCGTCCTATAATATCTTCATGTTTTTTTTTTTTTTTTTTTTAGTAATTTTGTAAACATCTTATGTACAATTATCTTGATTGTACTCTTTTTTTCTTACTAAGATTTTGTTCCACTAAGTTTTCCTTTGAAAGTTTTTTATTTAATGACGCAATTGTAATTAAAATATTTATTTTCATATTTCCATTGACTATTTAAACTTTAATATTTAATGACGCATGCTTAGATGAGTTGGCACATCTAAACTATGGACCTTAAATGTGCCAACCCATTCAAGGTCTATGGCACGGCCCATCCTAGCCCACGACACGGCTTAGCATGGCCCACGTAAAATTGACACGTGGTGTGAGCTGGGCCGAGATAATTCTTATATGGACCGGTTCGGCCTGGCCCACAAAATTCGTAGGCTGGGCTAGTCAGGCCCACGGCCCGTGTGGGCTTAAGGAGAACGTGCCGGGCCGGGATGGCCCGGCCCGTTCTTGCATCTCTACTCGTTGTCTTCGTTTCGCCTCCTCCCTGTCATTCTGGATTCCCAGGCCACGTTAGACGTCATGACTCATCGTTATTACTGGTAAAAAACGACAGTGGAAGCTAACCATTCTCTCATGTAATTTGTAACTATGATGCTATTTGAGTTGAACTATTTAAATTAGAGAAAATGCTATTTTGTAGTATTATCTAGAAAATGATATATGACATTTCTTTCTTACATAAATTCATTACATGTGTTATGGAATAGAGGATATTTTGTTACTGGAAGTGATCAATTTGGACAGGTGGTCTGTCAAATCAGTTTATAAATGTTTGCATTATGGGTTAAAGTTCTGTACTTTTATTTTTGGACAACAACCGCCAAAACGTAAGTTTCATTGAAGAATTTATACTATTGCTGTTCAGGCATAAGCGCACGAATGTCCTAAATCTATAGTCTTATTTTTTTCACAACTTAAGTCACAACTTAAGTCCTATTATAATAATATTTTTTCTCATAAAAATTTAAATTTAACTTTTTACTACAGTAATTTTTTTTTACATATGCAATTCAAATTAAGAATTTGAGTTGTAAAACAAATACACCCTATGTGACTATGTCCGTCAAT